ATCATACGGGTACCTAACCTGGAACTTCTATTGGAAGCCCATGGCTCTAACCACTAATCCACAAGGAAGCCTATTATTCCTATGACTTTAATTGAGATTCATGTAAAATTTATTGAAAATCATTCCTAGTATTCATATTCTTAATTAATAGGTGCCAAATAAGCTTCACAAAGACTCATTCGCATGAAAGCACATAAAATTTTATAGCCGCCATACCATTGTTCACAGAGTCCTAAAAAACGCCGATCATCAAGACGCGGAATCTGAATTATCATTAGGCGTCTCGATAAACTGAGACCGCTGATTGAAATAATGTCATTAGAAGTCCAAACAATGAATGCACAGTGCATCGCGGGCTGTGGGATCCGTCCGCGGCGTATTGTGACGATAGCATTCCGTTGAATCCATGTTGAATCGTCGCCTGCACTAGTGAATCAACCGTTACGAAATATTCCGGGCATTGTTGCCTGTTCCGAATTTTAATCGCATCTTATTAGATGGTAAGCTCGAAGGAACCATCGCTAACGAGATAATAAAATATAATGCAGTTTTGAAACTATCATTTTTGTGATACTTTTGGCGAACGATCCCATATTTTCTTAGATTTTGAAGACTGTGGCCGTTTTTTTTTCAAAGTTCTAACAATTTTTAATAAAAAAACTTTATCAATGGTATAACATTAATGATGACGCGAAAGAAATCGATTTTTATTTATTCAATTCAAAACTTAGCTTGAAGTCATTAGATCTTCGAATATACTCATTAATATGATGATGTGTTGTGAAGAGTGGGCAAAGAAACTCTACTGAGCATGATTCTGAAAAGAAAAGGAAATTGGATCGGACTCATTTTGCCAAAAAGAGTGCCTCTTACACTAGGTCGTGTAAGGTAAAATATGTGGAATATATGTATATAATACATATATATGAAATATATTGTAGGAAAACTAGTTATGAATATAAAATTATATAATCCGTTGGATGAAAATATAAACAATTTATTAATTACAAAATTTTATGATAAATAAAAATGACAAATCATTTTTGTTTTTCCTCAATGTCTAGCCTGCTTGTTTTCTCACACACTCCCTGCCCAGTGTTGACCTCACAGTTTAAAAAATACAGGAAAACACGTTATAAAAATATGGTGGGAAAGTAGATTATAGCAGTGTTGTGGTACTGGTCAATTAGAAATTCATCTAATGGAATAAATGACAGTTTCGTCTTCGACCTTCCATCATCTCCATACTCTGCATATGGTTCTGAATATAAATCACGTGATAAATTTCCTGAACCTCGATGTCTTGGCAAATTTTGAAGATTCAGCCACGATCTACTGTATTTATTTTAATTTCTATAATATTTTGGGTAAATAGATGGCGCTCTGTAAGAATATGGATTTTCGCAATGATTATAAATAATCTTTTTGACTTCTGTAGCCCTTTGAATCATACATCGGATTCTCGAGAGTGTATTAAAGAGTCATCAACTTGACAAGATGCAGTCACAAAGTCTTATGCATCAAAAGACGATTTGGTGAGTTAACGGACAAGGAGAGGTTGAATTGCGATTCCAATGAACCATTTGATAGTGAATTCAATTCATGACCCAAGATCTAGGCGCAGAATTAATTTTTGTGTCAGCAATAAACACTGAGGTCTGGGTATACAAAATGGGTATACCAACAGAAGTCCGGTGTCAGTAGAGTAAATGGGTTCACTCGCATATATACATGACAAGGACATTTTCGAATTTCTTTGCTCCCAAGGGCGCCAATGCTTCCAAATTAATAAAAAATGAATCTGTAATAGTATTAGCTCTTAATATAAACATTTAGATAGAGCGCACGTCAATTGAAAGTTTAAAATCCTATTCATCGTGGAATCAAGATTAATTTTGCAGCAAAATATTTATTTAATTTGTGATGTTGAAACTCAAATTATTATCTTGATTCCATGATGAATAAATATTGTAGAACAGCCTACATGGATATAATTAGAGGTTAAGTGGTTTATAAATATTCTTATGTGTAATAACATTTGAGTTCAAATCAGAAAAATGAATCATAATATCAAGGCTGTACTTAAAATCTCATAATTTTCAAACTACACTTGATAATTTTTTCCATGATAGTTACTACCATCTCTATCATCCTGTTTTGGCTTGACGTTGAGCTCTGGGACACCCTGTATTTCATGTAATTTTAACAAAAATATTTGTTAGAAAAAGATCGGCTAGAATTATTCTTCTGAGATGTTGGCTCGTTTCTCAATAGTTTTTGTTTTATAGCAAATTATTACGTTTTAGATTTTTTCTTAAAATGTGCGATATTATTTGATAATAAATATCAAATAATATCGCAAGTTTTGAGAAAAAAACTATAACGTAGTAATTTGCTATAACGTAATATTAGAGAATAAACTTTAAGTTTATTATTTGAAATCATATCGAAATTCTTCTAGTAGTATATAATGATTTTTAAGAAGTTTTATAATAAAGTTAATTTTAAAAGCAACAAATGGTGTGAAAAATAGTGTGAACTAAGTTTTCGTGGTAATTTGTAGATCATATTCTCAGATAACATAAGTGCATAAAGCATAAAGAGTAATCGAATTTGATGCAGATTTTTCCCCCAACTCTCTTACTACTAAATCATAATTTGAGAATTCGTCGTTGAGTCACATTTGTATTCGATTTATGCAATTATCTCATATATTACTTGACGATATTTAGGTACGTGTGAGCGTTGGACGGGACGCACGCGTCCACGTTCTCACGGGCTAATAGAACAAATAATAATAAGTGGGTACCACGGATTGAAAAGAATATTTAATTGTTTTGACTTATGGATATGAACTGTAAACGCTACCTGTTGCAAACAATAGAATTTACCTTAATTTAAAAAATTACCTGAAAATCAAGATAGCCATTAAAGTTCATAATGATACTTCGAAATACTTACAGTGGGAAATGACAATATGATAGAAATCTTGAGATAATGTAATTATTACGTCGTTAAATTTACCGAAATTGTCACTGCTAAAATTCTAATCATAAATTGTCATTTACTACTCGAAAAGTTGAGCATATGATAAAAAAATCCATTCCAATTCGTAAAGATTTGCGATATCCTAATAATTGTTATATAAAGCACAATATATATAGGTACTCTACAAAATTAATTTGTTTGATTTACAATAATTATAAATGTATAAAATAATAGCAATCTACAAAATAATATTTTTGTTTGCAAAGGGAACAAAAATACAAAATTTAATCTTACATATCTAAGTTTTATTTTGTTTTTAAAGATTTATTTATTCATTTATATTAGTTTATACATACATATTTCTATACAATTTATATACTCATGTATAACTATCTTAAGATATAAATACATAAACTTATATTTAATACTAACTAATAAAAAAAGAAAATTTACTTATAAATAAATTTCTAATCATGGAAAAATATCTATGTAGGGAAGGGAATATCTAAGTAAACATATCTAAGTAGGGAAGCTAGATAGGGGCTGGTTGTAACAATTTCTTTTAAATTAATATATCTTGAAATCGACTGATCATATTTATACGAAATAAAGCTGGACAGTTGCTGAAACTATTCCTCTACCTATTCAAGTAAAAATAATTTCACAAATGTTTCATTATTTCACAATTAATCATTTTCTAAAAAAATACGGTGTTGCAACTTACCCCGTGTTTGGGGTTAGTTGTAACGTCTACCTAGGCAAGTAGTAACCACATTAGTACTTCTGATGGTTTATTCTTTTCTTATTTTTAAGAAAAGCCTTGTATAAAATTTTGTTCAATTTTCTTTAAAAATTAGTACTTTTTTTTTTTTCATATTTATTGCTAATTTTCGCGAACTTGAAAATATAAGTTTGAAATTGTTATAGTATGTTATAGTATGTGTGTGTGTGTGTGCGGATACAAATTTTCGTAGACGATTTCGGGAACACGGATCAACCGATTTGAATAAATCAGAAAGCGTAGAAAATAAAAAATTGTTACACAGTATCAAATATGGATAAATAATATTTAAATATTGATCAAGGTATTTTATTTTTATTGATTTATATGGACAACATAACAGTCCATATACATATATGTAATTTAGTACACGCCAATAAAATACTATACTTATATTTATGGGAAAGTAAATAATGTCAAAGATAATAATAAAGATAATTTATGATTGGAAATAAAGAAATTAACAACGTCGTAACTATTAATATTTCAAATCGAAACAGTAAATATCAAATCCAATATATAAATTAATAATTATTACCGAAGTAACTAATAACTGAACGTAATATTAATGTGCAGTTTAAACCTTCGTAATTATCTATCTAATTGAATCTTTTGTGATAGTAGTGAATCGGTTTCGAATTAAATTCCATAATTATTATAAAATTGCATGTTGTGGACTTGCTTTTTTATAGCAAGAACATAAGATTGAAATTAGTTGAGTTAATTAGTTGTTTTTAAAATTGTTTTTACAATTTTTTATTATCTTATAATTATGCTTTTAAATTTATTCAAATTACGTTCACTGAACAATTCTAAATTTAATAGCAAATTACTGTATAGTATTGTATAATATTAGTTTATAAACTATACAATTAAATAATTTAATGTTTATGATGTGCATTAATTTAACTTCTATAAAAATCTATTCTGACTTTGATGAGAAATAAAAAAGTATTTCTGATGATCCAGACTTCCACTTCTGCAAGAATATAAATTATTTATTTCATTTAGATATATTCCATAATTTATACCTAATGAAGTAAAGCTCTCTCACAACGGAGAACGATTTGTTCATGAAAAGCAATAATTATAAAGCAATTCTATCCCCTTCAATAATAATTCTATTATATTTGTACTGAGATATTTTTTGTTGATAAATTAGAATTAATTAATTAAAAAATCAAATATAACATTTTTAACAATTAGTTATTATTAAATTGATTATTTTCTATTTTAGCACACCTTAACGGGCCACAGTGGTAAGGTCATGGCAGCTAAATTTTTGGGAGAAGCATCCAGAGTAGTTTCTGGCAGTCATGATAGAACTTTGAAAATTTGGGATCTCAGAAGTAGAGCATGTAAGTACTAAAAAATATAAAATACCTACAAATAAATAAATTGCACTGGTATTGACCAACTCCATGCTTGTAGTAAGAGTTATAATGCGCCTGGTTTGTTTGCCAGCGTTATATATATCAAATATGTAATGTTGTTAATGAGTCCTAACTTTACTTGTTTTTGAGATATTGGTGGTGGAACTTTTTACTCGTGGACCTTTAAGCCCAGCTCTACCCTATATTATTTATTAAATGTTCTTTTCGCTCTAAACATTGTATAAAATTTTGTTCGATTTTCTTCAGCACTTATTTTTTTCATATTTTTTGCTTATTTTTGTGAGCTTGAAAATAAAATTTTGAAATTGTTAATGTGAGAGTTTATTAACCTTTCGTAGTATAGGGTAAGTTAGAGTAATCGCAAATAAATCGAAAATTTGTATATATCTTTACGTTTCAAAGGTTTCTGGACATTTTATCATATCTTAGAAAAAATTGATGTATTTGTTTGTGTGTATGTGTGTGTATGTACGTGTATGTGTGTGCGGATACAAATTTTCGTCGACGATTTTGGGAACACGGATCAACCCATTCGAATAATTCAGAAAACATTCGATTCGTATTCATAAGATGACTTGCTGATTAGTTTTTGGCAAAGGCAGGTCTAGCCGTTTCGAAGATGCGGGGCAAAAAGAGCCAAAAATGGTAATTCAGTTTTTGAGATAAGGAGCGTCCGATTTGAATAATTTAAAAACCATTTTATTCGTATTGATAACATGAAGTATCGTTTAATTTTTTGGCTCTTTAGGCAGGTCTAGCGGTTTCAGAAGGTCTAGCGGTTTCATTTCGAAAATTGCCATTTAGCGGTTAAAATGATCATTAGACATATGCACATCAAATTATCAGATATTTTATAGAAATTTTAATAATAAGTATGAATTTTATGTACATTTTTATGGGTTCCGTACCAATATTTATCTTTTAGACTGAGGTGCGGCGCTTACGCGCTTCGATATTTCTTCGCTAAAACAGCCACGCAGCACGATTGCTTTTTCAGAAAAATTCAAGAATTCAAAAAAATTTCAGAAAAATTCAAGTTTCTCAAGTCAAATTTTTCAAAAATATCTAAATTCTCAAAAATGCCATTTTTTCAAAGTTTATAATTAAATTTAAAATAAAGTAAAAATAAATTTTAAAGGTTTTTCAAATATTTTATTTTTTGATACGGGAAGTTCCAGCAATTTGTCTTAAGGCACGATGCCAAGCACTACTAGTTTTAACCCGCCTTGGGTATTTTGCATTCGGCACTTTTTTCATGCAAAACGTATTGTTTCATATAAGCATGCTTGTTGTATATATCATTTGCAGATATTTGATGGGTAATTGAAATTTTATTATCATGATTTTATTATTAAGATTTCATTCAAACCTATACTATTCGAAAACCCGGACAAATATTGCTTTTAGAAAAACCTGGACACCACGCATGGTCACCTTGTTAGTAAGAGCTAGAAAGGCGTGACTATTTCTAGTTCCCATCGAAAATGTAACATATATCCCTTGACATGATTCTTTGGTGTTTTTCAATTTGATTAGAGTGATTGAAACCGTACTTCCGAACAGGTATCCGTATGCGATCATTATCCGTACTGAATTGCCAGTATTAACATAATGTTATGCGAACCTGGACGAGGAAAGACGTTCGTGGTTCTCGGTCAAGGAAATGCACACACCGGTGCCTTATTATGTGAGCCGCGTCTGTCGTCCGAGATAGATTGATGGCATGACATTGGCCATTCGAAAAGGCGATGAAATGAAAAGAAAAAATATATAGTGCACGCACCTTGCATGCATTTCATAGAACACACTATTGCCGTTATTTCCTATATTGTTTGGTCTATTGCTTTTGTGTTGTGTTGAAATTCCTTCATAATTGCTTTTGTTGCATAAGCAGTCGTTTCTATTAATCTAGTAGGTCAAAAACAATTTACTTTATGTTTGTAAGCTGAATAATATTTGTAATATTTAAACAAAGAATGACAAGGTAATGATGTGATGATTTTATAATACATACTTCATTTTATTTAAAATATTTGCTTGACTACTATTTTGCTATTCAATAAAATTCAATTGAATTTCAATTCAAAAAATATATATTTCACTGACCAGCATTCCGATTTTTCGCCTTGCGTCCCGGCTTTTTCTAGAAGCAATATTTGTCCCAGATTTAGGTGTTTTGTCCCGGATTGTCCCGGATTTTCAAAAATGTTTTGATTGCCAATATTTTTTTAAATATATTTCAACTAGAAAATTTGAACAGCCTAGCCCCCCCCCCCTTTCACACACATTATAATCTGTCCCGGATTTTATGCAAAAAATATGGTCACCTTACTATATATAATGTATACAATATAATGGTTGTACAAAAGTCTGCTTTTTTGGGTATTACACTTCATCATAACTATTCAATAAAATTGACCAACTCGGGCTAATAGCTCTGGAATTTCAGATGGGCAGATTTGCAGACTAAACTAAGTATTTTATTAATAAACAAGCATATAAATCATTGAGCTCATATTTCATGCAATTGTTAATATATTTTAAATATACCGAAGGCCACTTCATTTTATTCAATAGTAGATGTAAATATTTTTGGTTAATAGTATCGATGACATGTGCTAAAAATTTCCTATGACTCTATTCAACAGAATTTGTCGGAATACAGAGCCATTATTTTCTATGAGTGCATCGGCTACTCTGTGTTCTCTAAAAAAAATACTATAAAATTAATTTTATATAAATTTAATATAATAATTATTATGTTATATTTAACAATTGATTTGATAGTTGTAGTTGTTTTATTTTTTACCCGAAAATTTTCAATAAGAAAATTATCAAGTATTTTACAATTTTACAATCTGATTAAATGCGCTAATTTTTTATGAAACTTGCCAACACACTTTAGTATATTTTTTTCAAAAGAGAGCCTCTTAAAGTCGACTGATGAAATTGAAAAAAAAATAATTCGGAGTAAACAAAAAATCTTTATTTGTGAAAACTTGTGGCATTTGTATTATTTTAATGTAATCCTAGGAATGTTATTCACGGTTACGGTTTCAAAGTTGAAATTAACAAAATTAATAAAAGTTATTCACAATACGTGAAAAATTGTCAAATTTTGACTAAAGCTCTAGGTTGAACATAAAAGCCCATAATTTCCAAACCACGTGAAATAGTTAATTTTTATTTACTCATGCATTAACACTAAACTATTTTATTAGGTCATATAAGAAATATGATCGGAATGACAAATAAATAACTAGGCATCTTTTACGCCCTGAATATGCATTGCTACTATAAATATCTGAATGTTTACTAACATATCAAAGAATCTAACGCTGTTAATCATATGTTTAGTAACACTAATTATGTCTGAAATAAAGCATGTTCATTATTAAAAGCAGTTTCTTATCGGTTTATTTATAATCTTTTTAATTCGAACAAATCGAACAGCCTGGTGACTGAGCATTTGGTTCAAATATTTTGAAAGCATGTTTCTATCAGCTTAGATGTTTAGTAACAACAGAAGTACATAAATAGTGGAGAAGTGGGGAAATGGATTTTCCGTTTGCAATTCTCCAGAATTTAATTAAAATATTTATAAAACATGTTTCTATGAACTTAAAGGATTATCAGCGCCAGAATTGCATGAATAAATTATGCAATAATTTTGCTAGAGGCTTTGATCAGAACACCTTACTTAAAAAATCAGCATATGATCTCTTGCCACACGTTGTTTTATTGATAGCATTTTGTTTCTATAAACTTTGTAATAATGCTGTAGATTGTCTTTAAATTATTAACCAACTATCCTTTAACGTTCATAGATTATCTTCACAAACACAAGTATTTTTCAATTATCCTATTCCTAAATATAATGCTCTGTGCCTTTTACACTAACTAATGTCCTCTAATTTTTGAGCAATTAATAAAGATATCGATGTTCACAATACTTCACTAAATCAAATAATCTCCATCTGCCCAACTTAATCTTTGTTAAGTTGGGCTTTTTTCTTTTCAAATATGTTTTTGTATTCTATTTTTTTCTATGTTATTTTATGAGATTGTTGTATTATGTATCATACTATGTTGTATTATATCTGATCTTTATTATATTTTTAAGTCTTCTAGGAACTATTTTATGGGCCTTGTAATAAAATAAATAAAGAAATAAAAAATAAATAATAGTTGGGACAAATATTTTTCGCATCCGATTCTCCGTCCATATAGTTCAATTATGCCTAGCTCGAATCCGAACTGGATTGCGGTCTAACCGTCTTTCTTCCGCTGACAAACTCGCTATAGGTAATTCAGTAAGGCGACATGTTACGAATATGGACCGTGGTATATCGCACATGACAGTTTACTCTACATTTTTCATTACTTTATAGAGATATACCGGTTGTCAATAATTGCACGTGGAAATGAAACATTTCCGAAATGTCGGTAATAATAATAAATGTTCCTAGGTGTTCAGCTTCGTCGGGAGAGGGGTAATTTCCAAGTTATGGATGGACCAGATTATTGTTTGGCAACAAAATGAAAATTGTTTTTATTTCACTGAATCTTTTTTCCTTGGATTTCTCAGATGTTTCAGGTTCGATACCCGTCACGTACAGCCTGATATCAAGCAGTACTGACATCGCTTTTTACTTGAAAATATAGATAGTAGTAATATGTTTTTAAGTAAAAATAGCTCATACCCATTGTTGCGTCCAATAAAAAGTCATCAGTCGGAGTTAGGTCAACTGGTGTGTTGTCTTTTACAGCCATGTTAGCTATCAATGTACATATATGTATTGTAATGCTGGAACTACCAATGATACCCCTTTCTATGTAGAAGGTCCACCGATGATGCCTGCAATTTGTAGGATATTTCTGCTGCTAACAAAACTTGTGGAGGCTAATCAGTAAAACAGACGAAGAAGTTTGATGTATTTGTTTATTTCATGATTTACGACTGAGCTCATTATTGACTGAAGACTGAGTACTGGCTGACTTATATTGATCTGAACTTTGTGAAAACTAAATGCCGACTGACTGAAGACTTCGTCTTGCAATCCTTTCACGTGCTCGCTTCAATGTGACTTTGAAATCCTAGATAACACTATTTTACGACTTGTTCAATGTCATTGCATAGGGCAACACAATGCATTACTTAGTTGTTATTGCGTATTTTTGTAGTTTGGAAACAAAAATTATCAACGCTTGCTGTGCTTGTCAAGGATATCTCGAGCTTACAATGTTTCATGTATGATTCACGAGAAACGTCGTTTGTATTCTGACCGTTATAGTGGTTTATAATATTATTTATGATTATAGCGAATCGGTGCACACCCGTCACAGTATATATAATAGTTTTGTTTTGGATGCAGTAAAGCTTCGACTATCCAAATATTAGAATTCAAATTGTGAAGCGTTGTTATTACATTGTGCATATATTTTAATAATTCTATTAGAAATAATTAGATATTCTTGCATTTACATTTATAAAAAATATGCATGTTATATACACATTTCGACTAACATCGGCGATAAAAAAATATTTTATAGAGTTATGAATCTGCTTATCTATTTTATAGAGTAATGATGAACCAAGCTAATAGATATTGATAATTAAGTATAATATATAACATTGCGAAGAGATTTAGAACAACAAATCACTGCTTGCGACCTGTAATTAACTATAATTAACATGCAATCGAAAATCACAACTATACATTCTTATTATTAATATATCTCTAATTATGTTGTAATTAACAAATGTGCAGACATATTGATTGAATTTCATGTATATCAATTGCTGGTAGAAAAAGCATTCTATTTCCAGAAATGTGGCATTTATATTAAAAACGAATTGAAAGACGATTTATTAGAAACAATTGAGGAAGGGTTCAAAACTGATTTTTTATAGACATATTATATGTATTTTTATATTAGTTTTGTTGTGCATTGAGATTATTCTCAGCTAAATCAATGATTTGCTTAATTCTCAATCACTTACCTTTATGTTCAAGCCATAATGGATTATAATTAATAAACAATCTTTAGCATTTAGCATAGAAGCAAGAAAATAATTTTAAGGAAGTTTTCAAGACAAAGTCGCCGCAATTCGACATAATTTTGAATCAATAACTGGAGGATCTAGAAGATACATGTGTATATTGTCGAATATTAATTATTTCTCTCTGGGCAACTTTTATTATCAATGAAATATTTACAGTATACATATTGCATTATAGAAAATCAACTATGTCTTTTATTAGCAATAAGAAGTACCACTTATTTTAAATATCTCAAATTATACTCAAAGTTCTTGCTATGTACATTATTAACTTCCCGTAGGGCAAGTTATAGTAATCGCAAAAAAATCGAAAATGAAAATTTTTATATATCTTTACGTTTCAGAGGTTTCTGAACATTTTGGCATACCTTAGAAAAAATGGATGTATGTGTGTGTGTGTGTGTGTGTGTATGTGTGTGTATGTATGTATGTATGTGTGTGTATGTATGTGCGGATACAAATTTTCGTCGACGATTTCGGGAACACGGATCAACCGATTTGAATAATTCAAAAAACATTCGATCCGTATTGATAAGGAGACGTGCTGATTAGTTTTTGGCAAAGGCAGGTCAAGCCGTTCCGAAGATACGGGGCAAAAAGTTCCGAAAACGGTAAATCAGTTTTTAAGAGAACGGAGCGTCCGATTTTAATAATTCAAAAAACATTTTATTTGTATTGATGAAGAATCGATACAACTTTCATGAAGGTAGGTCCAGCGGTTTCGGAGATATAGAGGAAAAAGTAAAAAAATGAGCCATTTGGCGGTCAAAAATGATCATTAGACATATGCACATCAAATTATCAGACATTTTATAGAGATTTTAACAATAAGTATACATTTTGTTAACATTCCTATCGGTTCCGTACCAATGCTTATGCGTTAGACAGCGACGCGGCGCTTACGCGCTTTATATTTTGTCCCTATGTAGTTAAAGCAGTACGATTGCTTTGAAAAAAAAGTTCAGATCTTCCACAATATGTCAAAATAAAAAAAAAAAAATTTTTTTCAAAAAAAAAAAAATTTTTAAAAAAAAATTTTTTTTTAAAAATTTTTTTTTTCAAAAAAAACTAATTTTTTGTCCAATTTATAGTTTCTCAAAAATCTTATTTTTTCAAAGTAATTTTTTTTCAAAAATGTTAATCGTTTTAAAAAAAAATAATAATTTTTGGTACGGGAAGTTCCAGCAATTTGCCTTAAGGCACGATGCCCTAATTGCCTTAAGACAGAATTCCACTTACAGCTAGTTGTTCATTATAGTTACATGCATTCTAGTAGATTTTTTAAGCTGATTTGAATATAGATAAATAATTATATACATGTTGTTCGGTCTGCAGGCGTTGAAACTAAGTTTGCGGGTTCCAGTTGCAATGACCTAGTGACATCGGATGGATCTGGGTCGACCATCATTAGTGGCCACTTCGACAAGAGGATCCGATTCTGGGACACGAGGACCGACTGCGCGGCCAACGATATTTTACTTCAAGGCAAAGTTACATCACTCGATTTATCGCGAGGTAGTATTTCATAATTATAAGAAACTATCAAAGAAAATTCTTAACGTTTTCCATATAATAAACCGTTTTCAATTATTTTCATTGTAGTATACTCGTGATAATTATTTAAATTAACATACAGTTAATTTTGAGTCGAGCACTATTTTATGGATTTAGAGGCCACTTCAAAATAGACATGTTATGGTAATGTTTTGTTACGGGACTATCTTCGCATGAGTTGGTAGTTGCGAACTGTCGAAAAGCTATATATTTGCCTGCGATCAGGCTTTTTACACCTAAAACCTAATTTTACATATGTTTTATCAAAGAGACATCAGAAAGTTGCACTTATGATAAAATTGTTATTTTACGTTAGTGCGTTTTGTAGGTTAGGTTTTATGTGTAAAACGCCTGATCGCACAGTTAATACATAGCTTTTTGACAATTTGTTACTACTAACTCATGAAGATAGATCCGTAACATAGCACTATCATAACATTTATATTTTGTTCCTTGAAGAATTGGACCCTTAATTTTTTTATTCCATAAATTGTCGGTTCATATTTTTTTTAATTTTTAGTTTTAATTGATTATACATGCGTTCATGTGAATATAAATATTTTACAGAAATCATAAAATAATATGGGACAATATCTCTATTTTTTGCAAATTAGCGCTCTTCAAATTTGCATATAGATGATATGAAACACTCTCCTTTTGTATAAAGATAATACTGATTTATAATATCACTGCATAAATATAACAATTGCATCACGGCATAAATAAACAAAATTTAATCAATCGGATTTAAAATGAAGAACATTGCCTAATATTTTTAAGTATAAACTGAATTGCAAAGTTAAAATTATTATTTGATTTTTTTTTAATTAAAAAAAAATTGAAACAGAAAAAAATCTTTTCTCAAAAGCATGGTTCTGTTAACACAAGAAGAAAGGTTTTTAAATCGGATGCTTAGTTCTCAAAAACTGCCATTTTTTGCACAATTAGCTCTATATTTCCGAAACGGCTGAACCTGTCTTCGCCAAAATTACCACTTCTCCCCATCATTACAAATCGAATGTTTTTTGGACTTTTTGCTCCATATCTCTGATGCCACTGGACCTGTCTTTGTCAAAAACTAATCAGCCCGTCTCCTTATTAATAGGAATCGGATGTTTTTTGAACCATTCAAATCTGGTAATACGTACACCCGAAATCGTCGACGATAAATTGTCTCCACACATATACACACACATCCATTTTTTTTAAATGTTCAGAAACCTCTCAAACGTGAAGATATGCAAAAATTTTCATTTTCGATTTTTGGCCGATTACTGTAACTTACCCTACGGGAAGTTAATTAATGTTTCAATAATTTTCGGGAAGTTAATAAAAATGAAAAATATTTTAATATAACATTCAATTATGTACGTTGCCATATCTATTTTTCATCGGTATATTCCTAGAAAAGTATCATGGAATGTTTATCAACGAGAGTTCAGTTACAGTAGCCGTTGTCGACGTAAATAGTTTAAACCCAATTACCCGTGAAAATTTGCTGTCACGCACAATAACATCAAAATGGCACTTCAATATTCACCATAAATTGCGGTATATTGAACTTTTTTGATATTATGTATATACTATACCATGAATAACTATGAAAAGATATAATGTAATATTATCTCAAATGTGTTCACTTTGGCGTTTTTTTTTATTCGAGTCAATGTTTCAATTTTTCTTATTCTCTCTTTTATTTACAACTGTCCAGTTAAGGACATTTAATAAATTTGTGGAATTTACAATTGTCGGCCGTAAAGGGGCATTTTATACTAAAGGGGCATGTTGGAAAAACAACTCAATAGCTGTTTTCCCATTCGATATAATATTCACAATATTTCATTGATAATTATATAATCTTAACTATTTACTTATAGAATAATTTCTTATAAGTAATGACTAAGTTTTAATTTCAATTTTTTATCAGGTGAGTTGATGATTTAAATTCAGTGGCGCTTTTCTTTTCAACCTTCTTGGATAGTTCTCCGTTAATTATTATTTAATTTTAATGTTTTAAAATGATCGAAATAGTATTTGCACAATAAATTGTTGAATTTGCTCTTGGTTCAGTACAGAATTTTTAAATTACAGTATATTTCTTATTCTTGTTAAAAATAAAATCAGTAGAGTTTTTATAATTCTTAAATACTTGGCTAAAATATTTAATAATATTTCATAAATGGTCAGTATATAATAGTATCATAATAAACATACTGTATGTGGTTTATTAATTTTTATCACCTTTGACAAAAATGTCATGAATAGGTATAAATAAATTTTTTGATTGAAGACTTTTAGCACCTTATTAATTTAAAAAATAAACGACTGCTATTAGAAGCCTATATTTTGCTGTATTCAACAGGTCAGCGTTTTAGAACTCTTTTATGTGTATTTAAGATTCTGCCGAAGTGATGTATGAAATAGCTCCATGTTTTTATGTTCCAATAAACAAAAATAATCTAATATGTATATATGTAGTTATTTCATTTATCTACATATATATATATATATATATATATAAAAATCAAAATATTTTTGTTTCAGATTGTAAATATCTCTTGGGATGTGTTCGTGATGATACTATCAAAATAATGGATTTACGAATGAATCAAATTATTGGATCTTTCTCGTGAGTATAGAATATTAGTTAAAAGAATATTTTCATGTAGTTAAATAAAATTTAATAGTTTCATAAATAACAAATTTTCCCATACATTAGTTGATTTTCATCTTTTTGTAAACATGTATTCTACTAAAAATCACATTTTTCAGGCATGACCATTTCAAGGTGGGTTGTGATTGGTCAAGAGCCTCTTTCAGTCCTGATGGAACCAGAGTATCAGCCGGTGCTCAAGATGGTAGTGTATTCATTTGGCATACGCTTACTGGAAAGCTCGATACAATACTCAAAGAACATGAGTAAGTATAAAAATGATGTAATATTACACACACATAGATACATATATATATATATATATATATATCATTTTTTTAAATTATTACAGTTCTGCTGTTACTGCCGTAAGTTGGTTTCCCAATGGTTCAGCCCTTGCCAGTGTAGATAGATCCAAAAAATGTATAATTTGGGGAGACACATAACAGTGTGAGTTATTAGTTATAAATAAAGATCAATCTATAAGATGATAAATAATTATCTACACTTTTTTTATAAATGTTATAAATATATCAGCAGCTTATCAATTTAAAGACGATTATCCTTTTGTATATACTTAAAATTCTAGCGATGTCGCAGTGCTAGCCATTGTTCATAAGTTGGAAAACTTTTGATTATCATACTATTAAGTTCTAGGGCCCTAATAGCTTTTTGGCAATTTCTTTTTTCTTCTTTGAGCATACGGTGATTGACCTCATACTGCCTCGATAAAGTTGTATTCGCAATCAACTTTTCATCTTTTAATTTTATAATTAATGGGGCATCAATGCCTCCTGAACATGTAGCTGATTGTGTAGTTGCTGAAATTTTTGCAGTGTACTCAAAAAGTAGTTTTAAGAGTGTATATATAGCTTTTTAATTTATTTAATACCTTCTAGCACTAAAGTAGAGCTTTCAGGGGCATTAGGTTTTCTCATATGTCTTTCAATAATTCTCCACATTGCTAAAAGTATTGTTAATGTTTTTCAAGAAAACTATACGGATAAATAGTAAAACCAGATTTTAGGCATAGGATAAACATACCTTTAGGACCGGCTAATAGTACAAGTATTATTTTACATGGCATTTTGGAAATCTGTATTGTTGTATCTACGAGCGAATATAAATAAGAAAAAATAATTAACGATGACCGCTTAACTAATTGAAAATAATTTGTTGTACATTGTGCATTATCCATGTCTTAAATTTAAAAAAAAATGAATTTATGAAAACGTGAAATTTTGATGTTCGCGCCCGATGGGTTTGATTTTCATCGTGAACAACGCCACTTATCGTCGTTTGGTTTTGTCGACGCGCCAAATTCAAAAATATACTTTTAAGAAATCGAAATATTGTTTATCTATATGCGTATGAATTGTTTATCTTAAATTAGTTGACATTTTAATCTCGAGCTCCGTTATCTTCAATGCATTAATCTTTCATTATCTTACAGGTGTAGAGTCTTTACCAGTGCCATAAGCATCACTTTATCCGTCAGCCGTTTTTACATGAATTCTTTCGGCATATTAACTTGTACATAAAATTGCCTATATATATATATATATATATATATATATATATATATATATATATCATAATAAATATTTTGTGATTCTTATATTTGTATTAATATTTGTAGATATAAATTATGAAATATATTTATGTTTGTATATATAAATTACTTTGAACTTCAAAATAATAACAAAATACTATTTTTGTACAAATCATTGAAATGTTTAATATTTATATTTGATTTAAATTTTGTGTTACAAATAAAATACATGAAAACTACAACAATGGCTTTTGACCAGTTTTTGAATTGTTTCAGTTGATTGTTTTTATCATTGTTTATGAAATGTGCCCTAATCGGCATCTGCATGTTCAGAAACACTAAAGTTTACTTAATAAAATGTATTAAACATTTATTCTTTCAAAATATTTTTTTGTTTTAAAATAGCTATGAATCTTCTAAATTTTGTTATCAGTAATAACAAAAACAACAGCAAAATAGAAAATTTTCTAGGCAGTTGTTAAAATTGTAATAATTTTATTTCTGAATAATAAATGCAGTTATGAAAATAATAATATTTTTTCAGAAACTATTATTTTTTGTCTATATTGCACTACATGATGAATTTTTTTTTTATTACAAAATAATTGCACAACTTGCGTAGTGAGAAGATGGCTTTACAAAACAAACTGTGATGGTGAAACGTCATAGTGAATTGTGTACGGCAGTGAAAGAATCTGTCATGTCGCTTTCTATATAGTAAAAGTTTTATCGATTGCCTTTTAAAGTATTAATAATAAACATTGCTTGTTTGTTTGTTTCCCTAATATAGTAAACATAAGATTGTTATAATAATGTGTATACCATATGTCCACAATAAGCGATGAAAATGAATCATCCCACTAAAGCGTTTATGAAATGATATTGACAAGTATTATAGAATAAATAATTATATTTATTACTAATATGTAAATATTTTTATATCGTGATAAAAGATAGCTTTCGATCCTACAATATGTTCAACCGATTGAAAGCTGTTTTAGCAAATGCAGTTGCTAGTGAATATGCTCCGCATTTAATTTCTGATTTTGATAACGAAAGAGGAAAGGCTAACAAAAATGCCGATCCCAAGTTTCCATATTCGAGACCGGCGTTCCTTAATCTGCAAACTATGGAAGAAGTCAAAGTGTCTGCAGATCACCATGTAAGACCAATTATTGTACCGAGAGATGTGACAATCATACCATTCAATGCTGGCTATGCGGAATGTGTTAATGCTGGCAAATCACAGTGGAATGAAGATCAGGTAGTGAAAATTATTAAACATTTTTAAATCCGTTTTATTGTTGTACTACCTTCAATTTTTCTTTTTACTAGAAAGATTTTTATCAGTAACTTATACTTATGCATTTTTAGTGTATACAGTTTTAACACCTTTATTTCCAAGCCGTAAATAGTTTTTTTTGTTACCAATCACCCGATGTTAGTTAATACTTAAGCATATTGCAATATAATGAAACATGTATTCTGTTATATCCTATAAAATTGCAAATAGTAATTGCAAATTCAAATGACATACAATCTTCAAATGATATGTAGACACATCATAAATTATTAGTATTATTTTTACATATACTATATTTTAAAATACTTTAATATCTACTATCAATAATGTTTCTTTTCTATGTGTTTCAGGGTATTTACTTACAATCTTTATCAAAGCATTTTTACATCATCATAATTTTTTAGGCATCAGTACATAGAAGAGTTTTACGCCGACCTGGTGATATGTCAGAGGACTCTCCAGTTCTTCCATATGTGTATTTTGGAATGTTTGATGGCCATGCGGGTACTGGAGCAGCATTAGCTGCCGCTAATCAACTGCATCACATTTTACATGTAAGCATGCAGCAATTCATCCAAAATATCCCACTAAAGCGTTTATGAAATTATATTGACAAGTATTATAGTATAAATAAAGAAAAATAAAAAATGTTGATTTTACACAGCTTAATTTGAATGCTTGCATTACAGGAAAAACTAATTGATGTCTTTGATGAACTATTACCACCAGTTCCAGGACAACCAAAAATGGATCACTTTGCATTTTTGAGTAAACCTGTATCCCATGATGCATTGATTATTGGTGCTCTAGAAGCTGCATTTTGGGAAATGGTTTGACTTTAATATAATGTTGCCTGAATATTCTGAACAAAGAATTTAACTAAACTTTTTTTTCCAGGATGAACTATTAGCAGAGGACAGAGATAGGTACCAAAATGCAGGCGGGTGTACAGCTGTAGTTGCTTTGTTATTGTTAGGAAAACTATATGTATCTAACGCTGGTGATTCTAGGGCAGTTTTATGCCAACCTGTTAAGAAAAACATTTTAGATAATGCCCAAAATTCTCAAACAAATATTCCGAAAGTAAATTGTGATGTTGATTCATCTTCAAATGAACATTCCAAAGACAATGTACCTGTTGGTTCTGATTTAGGTATTATGAATTATACTTATATTTTTATAATAAGGGACTTTTTCATTTTTTTTATCTAAGTTGTAGTTCATAAACAGAACATTATCATAATCTTCAATTATATCCTTTTATTTTCCTATTTGAAAAGTAAGATAATTGGTAGCTCAAATATAGAACACTGTTCGAAGTATCTGTAACTTAGGAAATTTTCTTGAACAATAAAATGATTGAAAACTGTTTAAAGATCAATATTAGTATTATCTTTCAACATAGCTATTAATAGAATAAACACATTATTTCAATAACTTAATTTTAGATGACGATAAAGATTTATATGTTCCAATGGCTGTGCCTATGTCGCATGATTTTACACCTGAGACTGAGCGTCAAAGAATTCGAGCAATTGCTGCTCTTCAGCCATGTTTGCTTGGAGATGAGTTTACATGGAGAGAATATGTAAAAAGGCCTGCAGCTCGCGATCTTGGGAGGAGGATTTTATACAAAGAAGCTTTTATGACAGGGTGGACATACAGAACTTTGACACAACAAGATTTAAAAATTCCTATTATTACTGGAGAAGGCAAAAGGGTAATATAATAATTTAGTTAAACATTCTGAAACTATTATTCATTTTGAAAAACACTTTTAAACATTCAGAGTCGTGTGATGGGTACAATTGGTGTTACAAGAGGATTTGGAGATCATGATTTGAAAGCGCTTAATACAAAAATATTAATTAAGCCTTTTTTAACTCCACAACCTGAGGTAAAATATAAAAAATTATCACCTGTAATTTGTTTTAAAATACATTCTTGTTCAGGTGATGATATTGGATTTAACCAAACAAGAACCAGAAGAAGAATTGGGAGTACTTATAATTGCAACAGATGGCCTTTGGGATGTAACTGATAATGACACTGCTGCAAAAATAGTGTACAAAAGTCTGAAACAATTTCCTGATGGAAAGCATCGATATACATCAGCCGCACAAGAATTAGTGGCACATTCTCGGGGTAAGCTGGTTGAGCATCGCTCATGGAAAACTGTGGAAAATAAACCAGCAACCATTGATGATATATCAGTATTTGTTATACCACTCACGCCATATAGGACAGAATATTTGGAATGGAAAGAAAAGTACATGAAATAGCAGCAAATAAATTCATGTTCTAATATATTTACTAGAATAGGTTTAAGTATTAATTTATAAAAATTGACACTGAAGACCGATTCATACAATAAATTCCTAATATAATATAATTTATATAACTGCAAATTTTTAATTTATGAATTTAAATATATAATTCTATCTAAAAATGTGTGAATTTTGTGTGTGAAAGTACTTTTAACTTCATATTCTTTCTATTAGAGGCTTAATTGCAATGAATATAAAATTGTGTTGTGTATCAATAATGTAATGAAAAAATAGCATGAATTAATAGCATTGTGCCCAAATGATATAAAGTCTGTTTAAAGTTAATAGATCATTTAAATGTACTAAATTTATTAAAATTTTAAGTTTTATAGTTAGCAGCAGATTTGAATGAGCACATGATCAAATGATCAATATATAAAATTCATTTATCAGTTCATTTACTATGTGTGAAACAAAAGCAAGTATTAAAACTTATCAAGGTGGTTCCTAAAAAACACAAAGGGAGTTAAAAAATTATCTAGATATACATATAATGAATATTTAACAATAATAGGTAGTAAAAGTTTCATATTAATTCACAGTAAATTTTCTATTAAATCATATGTTCAGCATTTAAAATAAAATAAAATAGGAGCATAAATGAGAGTATTTAAAAAAGGCGCCAACAGTAAAGAATGAAAGCGGTCGTGATTTTCATTTGTTGGTTGCACTGAATTCATGATCGTGCCTTTGAACATGTTATAGCACATCGTCTCCAAACTTCCCTAACCAAATAAATTGTCACATAGTAGTCGATAAAAAAATTGCACAATAGTGTGTGTTTTGTTTCTTTTGCCGTGAGTAAACATTAATTGATCGTCTAGTAATAAATTAATCTTTTAAAATGTCACAAGCAAAGTTAAATGATCTTGCCGGAAAATTTGGAAAAGGTGGACCGCCCGGCCTTACAATGGGGCTCAAGTTTCTTGCAGCCGCCGGTGCTGTAGCTTACGGGGTATCACAGTCTCTTTATACAGGTTTGAAAGATATAAGTTAATATTCGTTTAGAAAAATTGTTAGCTTTGTGCTTCATCAATGTGGGTCATTTTCAGTCGAAGGTGGTCATCGGGCTATAATTTTCAGTAGATTGGGAGGTATTCAGAAAGAAATTTTTGCTGAAGGACTTCATTTTCGCATTCCATGGCTGCATTATCCAATTATATATGATATTAGGTCCCGCCCAAGAAAGATTTCCTCACCTACTGGATCTAAAGATTTACAGATGGTTAATATATCATTGAGGGTTTTGTCTAGGCCAAATGCGGCACAACTCCCAACAATGTACAGACAATTAGGCTTAGACTATGATGAGAAGGTTTTGCCTTCAATTTGTAATGAAGTGCTGAAGAGTGTAGTAGCAAAATTCAATGCTTCTCAGCTGATTACTCAAAGACAGCAGGTATTAAAATTAAATTAAATTTAGGTTATTTTCTCGTAAAATGTAGTGGCAATCGGAGTTTGTTTTTTAATACATTCGTCAATTAAGTTTAATTTATATTGTTTTTAGCTATGTTTTAAGAAATTACTGATATCCATTCTATTATGCAATTGTTTTACTTTTCTAGGTATCTCTGTTAATCAGAAGAGAACTGGTAGAAAGAGCTGCAGATTTTAATATTATTCTAGATGATGTATCTATCACTGAACTGAGTTTTGGAAAGGAGTACACTGCTGCTGTTGAAGCCAAACAAGTAATTTCCAATATTAGATTAGCTTTGATATTTACTATATACGAATGTTGTTTATTTAGGTGGCACAGCAAGAAGCGCAGAGAGCTGCATTTGTAGTTGAACGAGCTAAACAAGAAAAGCAACAGAAAATTGTGCAAGCTGAGGGAGAAGCAGAAGCAGCTAAAATGATATCCTTTTTAAAGTTTTCCACATAATGTTGTGTGAAAATTTATTTGCATATTTTTCTTAATGTGATGTTTACTTAGGTCAGGCAGTTGGCCATAATCCAGGTTACTTGAAGCTGAGGAAAATTAGAGCTGCACAGAGTATTGCAAGAACGGTAATGTTTGTTTTTAATTATGATTAACAAAAATAAAGATTAGCACCTATTAGTTTCAGGAATACTATTCCTAAAAATATCTATTTTTTAATTATTGTTTTAGATTGCAAACTCTCAGAATCGTGTTTATCTTTCTGGCCAGAGCTTGATGCTCAATATTCAAGACCCAACATTCGATGACTTGTCGGACAAACTTAAAAGTAAGAAGTGAATATGGTTTGCCAATACATTATGATGAATAATTTAGATTGTAGAAAATTTTACTATAAAAATGTACCATATATTCACAATATGTTTCATTAATGATAATATACCTGATTTATTACTTTTTATTAAAGTCTATAACTAGTAGTGTATAATATTGTTTACGTTATTAAATATTTTTTATCAAAATTGTTCAATGAATTTTGTAAAACCATTATCCTTAAATTTCAGATGGTGAAATATCTCGAGATGCTCTCTTGATCAATCCTTCCCTTAATCCTTCTGAGCGATCTTCCTCCTCCGACTCCAAATCAAACTTAGTCTCGAATGCAGCAAATGATGTTGCACGTCGAATTTCACTTTCATAAATGTTATTGATAGTTATATAATGGATATGTATGTAAATTTAAAGTGCACAGTAGACACAGGTATTACTTCATTTTCAATTATTTTAAAGTTTGCTCAAATTTAATCAAAATTAATTGATCCGTGATTCAATGTCTTCCTACTTACATTAAAAAAATGTAATAAATATTATTAATGGCCAATGTATACTTTGGCGGTCTCAAAGAAATGTTATGTGATATTTTTCAATCAGAATTTCTAATAAAATTATAAATTCCTGCAAGAATCATAATAAAATGTTTACTCGAGCAATATATGTTTTATTTCATCATAAGATTTATTAATTCGATTTTAGCGCTGCCAGTGGGTCCAACATAATATTTTCGACTGCGGGTCAAACGAGTAACGGCCTTCACGCTTGGTAAAAGATTTCTATGTGTTTTCTTTTGAATAAGGTGTTTGTCAACTTGTCAATTGTTTTAAAAAAATGTTTTTATGGTTATAGTTGTCAATAATATTTTTAATAATGTTTACAAATTTCCAAATATTTTTTAAATTATTTGGAATATGCTGTGTTCATTTTATATTAGGTAAGTATACGTAATTCCCTAAATTTGTTACACATTTGGAGAAATGTATACCTAACCCCGCCCACCTGAATGATTTTAATAACACACCACAAAATAGATATTTTCATTAAAGTTGAAAAATTACATATATTTTTATTGCAGTAAACTATGTAGAAGCAGAATGCACTATCCCAGTTGTCATACGAGGAACTTGGTTCTCTTGGGAGAGTGGAAAACCTACAACCACTGAAATTAATGCAGAGGAAGTTTCAAATAGGTTTCATAAATCGTTTCTATTATGAGATTTTAACTATTGTCTTTTTTGTATATATACATATCTAATTATTGTTTTTAGAGGTTATTGTGTTGATGTAAAGGAAGAATATCATGTAAATTACACTTTTGTTCTAAAAGATAGAGAATGTTATCATTGTGTAAAATTAATTGTTCGCACTGTTAATGTTTTAGAAAAAATTGAAAGTAAGTATTTTATTTAAATACAATATTTAATTATATGCATTTTATATATTATATTTACTTTTAAGGTGTTTGTGTAACTTTAAGACCTGGCGAAGAACCAACTGTTGAGAGAGTTTGCCGAGGTCTGAATCCTGCACAACAACTTATTACACTCTTTAGTGAAAATTATGTCCCAGTTAACTGCAGATCTTCTCTTGAAGGCGTTTGGCAATTTACGTATCAGGTATAAAAACTTATTTAGTACATACTACAATGTAGTCATACTTTATTAATCAATATTACTTTTATTAATAGTCATTCTAAATCATATTTTTGTTTTTGTTTGCAGAATCGTTTTCAATTTACGGGAGAATGTAATTCACCCGATGCAACAATAAGATCTTGTCAAGCTGCAGGTTCACAATTTTTAATTTCAAATCAGAAGTTTAATATTACATATCGGGAATGTCAGGGGATGAAAGGAACTTTCAATGGATGTAAATATTTGAAATAAATTATTCAATAAATATGAATTATATATATATATATATATATATATATATATATATATATATATATATATATATATATATATATATATAATGTTATTTCAATTTTAGTGGTGGAATACAGTTGCTTGGGACATTGGTTTGTTGACAAAAATCATTACTTTGCTGTTGCTAATACTAAAGAATCAAGAAAAGATGAAAAATATAGATGCTTTTTGAAAAATCGTGATGATGATTTATACATCGGTGTTTCAATAACAGCTGAGTGTAATACATTAAAAACTCCAGAAAGATCTCCGGAGAGATTGAGATTAACACCTGTTAAGGCTGAAGTTGTAGAACCTGGTGAAAAATAATTATCTATATAAAGATGTGCAGATTTGATTTGGATTTTAAAGATAATTTTTTTTTCACTTTTACTTTCACAGGATGTAGATTGCCCCAAAACTTTTCTGGTGAATGGATAAACACTGCTAACCTTGACGCCGATGTGTTCATAAATGAAACACATATCATTGAGACTTGGTATCCTGATGAAGGAAGATTTAGGAAAACAATTTATGTTTGCAGAGAACAAAGGGATAGTAGAGTTATGATGGCACGTTTAACTGTTGATGGATGGTACGTAATAAGATAAAGTTATAGTAAAAATAATGTGTGTATAATCAATTATAACATTTGATTAATAACTTTTTAAACAAATATCATGAGTATCTATATATGTTCCTATGCGTTTTGTTATATATTATTACAGCCAGAAAGATTTTATATGCTTTGACTTTGTACCTAAACATCATAATGTTATACGTTACCGAAAGGGTGTAGCTGTCATCAATGACAATTTTCATACAGTCTGCTCATGGGTCCAATTTAAAAATGAAGTCCAATGGAAATATAGTTTATTTTTAGGTAAAATTATTAAATTATTACTTATAATTTTTTTTTATTAATGTTATGAAACTTTATTACCTGCAAATATGTTTACACAGCTAAAAATCCTGTACCTGTTCGATGTCCAGTTGCTGGAAAATATAATTTTACACAACGTGGAGATGTACCATTTGAGACAAGGTTAAATTTATTATTTATATTATTACTACTAATGTAGTCATTGGGATAAAAAATAATTACTTACAAATACTTTTCTAATTTCAGAATTTTAGGAGGTGTTACATTAAGTCCACGACCGAACACTTATTGCAAACAAAATATTTCTGATTTTTCAGTTTGTGGTACTGACCAAAAAGAAATTGCTATAGATGAAAACTATTGTTTGTCTCTTGATCATTTGGGAAGGCCTGTTGATATATACAGTATGTATTTTTTGTTTCATTCAATTTTAAAATTTACCAAAATTAATGTCATTATTCTAATAGGCGACCCTGACTACAAAATGAAATGCATTGGTTTTTGGAAAGAAAACTTGAAATCTTATCTCATCACCTATGATGAATTGGATGCATTGACAAAGTATCGTTGTTGGGTATACCAAAGGGCAGATCTTAATAGAGTACTCATGTCTCAAGGTAATTTATCAGTGAATTATATATTATACTTTAAATTGAAAACTTAGAAAAGTTTATATTTAATAACTAAATTTGAAGGCTAGTTTTATGTATATTATTCTATACAGTACTTTTTAGTTACATCAAAAAACAATAATAATACTTATTTTATATGTTAAAGCTGTTGGACCTTTTTGTGATCTTGACCAAGATGTAACTTCTTGGAACTACACTGAAGGAGCTTCAGTTGCTATAGAAATGCAAGAATATGAACGTGAACGTAAGTATAAAATTAATAAGTCAATTCATATATACCCACACTGATATCTACCTATCCTCATATATACATTTAATTTAGTTCTATTAGTTTTACTTACTATTTTTATATTTATTTATAGGTGATCGATGCCCAATGCATTTTGATGATGGTTCAAATCCATGGGTACAAAGTGAAAATTATATTAAAGTATTTAATTTTGGTTTCTTCCGAAGTGCCTCTCCAAAATTATGCATGAGTTTATTAACTTTAGTTGTATCATTTTTATTAAGCATGAAAACATAAATATGCAAGTTTTTTACATTAATATGTCATTGCTGAAAATATTAATATTTTTGCAATGTTCAATGATAGCAAAATGCAATAACATATTAGATATGTTATATTTTTATAATTCACATGGTTTTTAAATTATCAATTATATTTCATATGATCTTTAACTCAACTTTGATCTGAGATATATAGTAAATAGGAAAATTAGGAGTAACATTTTATATTGATAATGAATCCATTTATAGTGTATGTATAATATTTTTTACTCTATTTCAATACTACTCAATTTGAGTTGTGAAAGTCCGTCCAATAAATTCATAAAGTTTTGTATTCATATTGAATCCACGTATAGTATATGTATAAATATTTTTTTTTTACTTATTTTAATACTACTCAATTTGAGTTGTGAAAGTCCGTCCAATATAGTTTATTATAAAAAATATTTTGTATATGTTGAATGTTAATTATAATGATTGGTATGTTAGATAATAAAAACTTTTATGACCATATTAGCTTATAATATTATGCAATAAGATGGAATAGCTAGAATGGGTTATAATTAAACAGAATTAATCTTTTGTTGTTTATTTAACATTCTTGTATAACAATCATTAGTTTGTCCATGTTTATATAACAACTGCAATAGATAAAAAGACAATCTCAGTAGCAAATGAAAACTACGCTTTGGAATCATTTTGCGCATTTTGCAACTTAATATATATATATATATATATATATATATATATATATATATACATACATACAGTGATAACTCGTATTTCGTCTTAATTTATTTGGGGAGATTTGTTATGAGAAAAGTTTGCTTTGCAAAACACTTTTTTCTATACAAATACATGAAAATAAAATTAATTCGTTCTGTGGTTTGAAATTTGCTCATAAAAAATAAGATATATTTTACATATAATTAAGACATTTAAAAAAATATTACTGATTTACGAAAAAAGTTATTGTCAGAATCGTACAGCTCCCTTTTGTACCCTTTTAAAGCTTCTAAATTTTCAAAAAACTGTCGATAGTTTTTTTTCCAACAAGTATATTTTCACAGCGGAGCAAAACTTTCCAAGGTCCACTTTTTGCATTAATTTGAGCAACATATGTTTTTTGACTACAAATGACAATGAATAAGTACGTTGTGTGAAGCAAAGTTTAATGTGTGGAACGTTCGAGACCAAAAAAAAAGTTCGTTATGCGCATAGTGCACTGTGCGAGGCGTACGTTATGCGAGGTATCACTGTATATTTAAAGTTGTTTAAAATGGAGGAGCCCTAGTTTCTTGGTATATTTATTTTTTATTGTGATAATGAATTTAATTAATGTATTCAAGGTTAATGTAAATTCGTTTCTAATCAATTGCAAATTCAAAAATCAAGATGTAAAATACTAAATAAGGCTATTTTGTGATCCATTTTTATATCAGTTTTTAATTAGAATTAAATGCTCTTAATATCCTATCTGAATTTTCTATTGGCTTGTGTGCATAAATTATATTGTTTATGCACGTTTTTCAAAATCTTTATATATTAACGCTCACCGCATTCAACTGTTTAATCATAATGTTTACATTTTACCCTTTAAGGTGTGATAGTTGAATAATTTCGTATGGTGTTTCAATATTTTGTGTGGTAAGTTTCTATATTTTATTCATTTTATTCTTACACTAAATATTTTTGTTAGATTTTTTTACTATATATGTATGTAGTTTTCAACTCTTGTTAATTTAAATTTCATTCATGAATTACATTACATGAATTACATTACATGAATTCATGTAGGGTAAGTTATAGTAATCGCAAAAAAATCGAAAATGAAAATGTTTATATATCTTTACGTTTCAAAGATTTCTGAATATAGAAAAAATGAATGTATATGTGTGTGTGTGGATACAAATTTTCGTCGACGATTTCGGGAACAACGATAAATCGATTTGAATAATTCAAAAAACATTCGATTCGTATTGATAAGGAGACGTGCTAATTAGTTTTTGGCGAAGGCAGGTCTAGCCGTTCCGAAGATACGGGGCAAAAAGTGCCAAAAACGGTAAATCAGTTTTTAAGAGAACGGAGCGTCCGATTTTAATAATTCAAAAACATTTTACTTGCATTGAGAATATGAAGAACTGATAAAATTTTTGGGAAGGCAGGTCCAGCGGTTACGGACTCTCAAAAATTAAATTAAAAAAATGTCCTTTGGCGGTCAAATATATTTATTGGACATATGTACATCAAATTATCAGATATTATAGAGATTTTAATAATGTGTACACATTTTGTGTAATTTTTTTGGGTTTCGTACCAAGATTTTTAATTATGGTACGGAAAGTTCCAGCAATTTGTCTCAAAGGCACGATGCCAAGCACCCCACTAGTTTTTACTTAAGTAAACAATTGTTTTTTAATATTTTTGTTGTTTATTTTATGTTAAATTTACATATTTTTCTTTAGTCATGTTTTGTACTAGTAGTAAACACATATCTTTAGTTTTCATATGGTTTTCATTCTATTTTATCTGGATGGATGCCAGTTAAGAATTTTTTTGTTTATATTCAACATATTTATCACCATCTGAAAAATTATAATACATACACACACATTTATATATAAATATATATATATATATATATATATATATATAAACTTCCATGTGTGTATATACTCATATACCGCGATGTACATTGATGAAATTTATATATAAAAATATTTTTCAAAAACTGTTAATTTATGCATGGTAACTCGCTGCAGACACGTAGTCTTTTATTCAATATTTTTAATTTTTACTATAACAAATTTTGTACTACAATAAATTTATACTTATTTATATATGATTACAATAAAGTTCTGAATGATATTTAAAGACTAAATGTCGTTGAAATTTTAAAAATGTTCGGTGTGATTTCCTACCATGTGCACAAGCATATCCATGTCATTTTCATAACTTATGGCAAGTACGACATAAATACAAATACTGAGTTAAGTCATGTGTCATATGAAGAACTTTTGAAAAGTTTTGTTTAACTTAACCTGAGATGAATATTTTGTTTGAAATGAAGATAAATATAAAATGAAAATGCAAGAATACAGTATACCGAATAATATATTATTATAATATATTATATGGAGCATAAATTATCCTATTATTCAAATGTCTGGATTTGAATATATGTATGTATTTACTTGACGTTTTTGATATACTTGCAAAATAATCTAACCTATTTGGTTGAAATGAAATTGATTTCGAGTGCATTAACATAGTAAATATATGATAGAAACGTATTATTCTATATTTCTAGACATGATGGATATTAATGCTTATAATTTGGAGCAAGCTGTCAGCCTTTTCTATAGGTCTGAAGCAGCACAGCAAGCAAATGCTCACCAATGGCTAACACAGGCTCAAAGGAGCCCAGAGGCATGGGCTTTTGTTTGGGATTTATTGCAACCATCAAAGGTACACATTTTTGAACAAAATTTAATTAGTGAAACCTTTCTTATAGCCCTCGTTTACTTAAAATGTATAACTTTTTCAACAGAGCACAGAAGTACAATTCTTTGCTGCAACAACTTTACATATGAAATTACTTAAATTCTGGAAAGAAGTGCCAAAAGAAAAGTATATGGAATTAAAAGAAAAAATATTTGAAGTTATTTACAAGTTTTCTAATGGTCCACCTTTGGTGTTAAATCGATTATGTATTGCAGTATGTGTAAAAATTTGTAATTTTAATACTTTTAAGTCACATGTTTGTATTGTTTATTATTCATACAAAATTTTAGTTATCTGCTTTTATTCTTCACATGATGCCAACAAATTGGCCAAATGCGTTAAGTGATCTCATTAATATCCTCCAATCGCCACCATTTTTAAATATGCCACAAGACAAGATTATCTGGATTCAATTTGAAGTTCTCATGAGCATTGCAGAAGAGGTAATTTAAAAGAAAATATTAATAATTATATAAACATTATATTATTGTTATATTTTCATGATATGTCCAGTTTCCCAGTGTTGTAAATGGATGCCCCGATCCACATAAGCTTAAAGCAGAACTGAATCACAGCCACTGTATAGTATTGAATATAGTTGAGCAATATTTAACTGCAGGAACAGAGTGAGTTTTGTATTCTTTGCACTTTTACTCATGCTTATTTTTTACACATAATTTAAATAAGTACAGTAAAACCTCTTTATTTGCGGTGCATACTTTTTGTAAATATTCCGTAAATAAAGAATCCGCAAATACAGGATGGCATTTTATATGGAATCATAGGGGTATGTTCCAAGGTGACTAAATAATTCGCAAGTAAAGAATAAATCTGCAAATGCAGGATGGCATTTTATATGGAATTGTAGGGGATATGTTTCAAGGTGACACAATAAAGAAAAATAAATATATTGGATAACTATTATTTAATATGCAATATTTTAAGTCTAACAGATCACATATTAGTAGATTTTGGGTTCGATACATATTGGAATCCGCGAATAACGAAATATTTAGCCCCGAATATAGAAGTTGGGTCACAATTGTTTTGGCCGCGAATAGCAAAATCTCGTATATAGAAAGCGCGAATAAGGAACTTCTACTGTATTATAACACAAATTTTTCCTACACGAATTTTTCAATAATATTTATCTTTAATATTATAACCCTTTCCACCCGGCTGTCCTTCTGAGTGGACAAGGTAGTTCAGCATATCACTCAGCTGTCGCCTCTGAAATACACACCATTTTGCACACATAGTGTCTCAATCCATATTGCATCGAATACAATAGATCAAGAATGAGCAAAAGGTTTCTGAACATTTTGGTATACCTTAGAAAGAATGGATGTATGTGTGTGTGTGTGCTTATGTATGAATACAATTTTTTGTCTATGTTTTTGGGAGCATGGATCAACCGATTTGAACGATTCAAAAAACAATCGATACCGAGCTGTAAGTCTGTAAATAACTGTATATTGACACCCTAAAACTTATCTCACAACCTACATATGTTGCGTATACCCCACTATATGTAGGTTTTGAGACAACTTTTAGGGTGTCAACATACAGTATCTACAGACTTACAGCTGGGTATCTCGAATTCCGAGGTGAACTTACTATAATGACTTGAACTTCAAATAAATAATTTTAACTATGAAATACAGTGTAAATAATTCTTATGAACATGAGATAATATCCTTCATTTTAAATTCGCTTGATTAAGTTTTGTTTATTTAGCTTTCATGTAAACATATATAAACATTGTTGTCCAATTTATAAGCTCGTATATTTTATCTATACAATACGAATGATGAAAGTTACAATATTTATAATAATCTATTTAAAAACATTTGAGATTCCTCAAATATTTTATTGTGGTACAGGTAACTACAGCAATTTGCTTTAAAGCACTATTTCATACACCACCAGTTGTATTATAATGTTATGTTATATAATAGTAACCTATTCAGCTTTGTAAATTATTAATAAGTGTGACCTGACCCACGACAAAATCATAAAATTTAAATACACCAACTTTTTCCCTAAATACGGCAACAATTTGTAATTTATCAGAAATTAGAAGGACATATACAAATCGATTTATTATATTTTACTGCGATAAATGGCAGTGGAATCAACCTTTTATGCTTCTTGAAAATTGCTTTTAACTTTAAAATGCTACAGATAATAAATTTAAATATTATTGTAAATGTATGTTATTTAATGTTCACAAATTTATATCAACAAATTGCTTAACATACATAATAATATCATGTTTACATCAGGTACGTTTTTCTCAGAATTTAGCAGCAAGTTGCTGATAGATTGCTTTGAATCAATGCCGGGTGGTAAGGTTTAATATCATCATAAATTTGTCATTAATGGCCATGTAAATAAAATATTTGGCTTTCTATATATAGTAGGACTCTATGAAATATATTTATTATATTAAATGTTTATTTTATGTTTATGTTCTAGGAGATTCTGTGAATTTGATCTTACTACATTACAAAATGCAGCTCGTTGTACTGAATCATGGTTTAAAATAGTTAGTGTTCCTTTAGATAAATGCCAGACTATAATTTCTTCGCTATTGCAAATTGTACATTTTTGTTATTGGTTCGTAAACATTCAATAATGTTACTATCATTTTTAATTACTTACTTGAAAATACTGTAATGATTGTATGGAATTTATAGGAACAGACATGAAAGCGATGGTTGCCTTTCTGCAGAAGAGCATGAACTTGCTGAAAGCTGTCTTGATGCCATTCAAGCGCTTCTTACAAAGCCGGAAGTTGAGCTACAACCACAACTTGTATTGCATTATTTGTCCCTATGTTTGCAAGTGCTGCAAAAAATCACGGCTGCAGAATTTAAAGTGGATAATTTGAATGAGGTCAGATCTTGAATTACACTTTTATTTTTTGTTGCTGGACTTTATTTGTAATCCTGAGTCTATTATTTAGAAACAAACAATCAATAATAAAACATTTACATATCATTTCTACATTTTTTATATTTGTATTCTAAAATATCTTGAAATATATTTACCTTTATTTACTATTGTAGGATATATTAGTAAATATATATAGTCTTCTTATAAGTGTTGCTGAAATCAATATAGGGGCAATAATAAAAGCATTTTGTGAGGAACGCAGTGAAAAACAAAATGTTTGTTTAACTCTGCTGTCAGAAATTATGAATTGCTCAAATAGACCAGGAATCTATCCAACACAAGAATCATGCAGCAATCTAGCTTTTAGCTTTTGGTATATGATACAGGTCTGTTGAATGCCTTGCAATTTGTTGTCTAGTTAGACAAAATAATATAAGTTATTAATTAATTAATTAATTAAAACAAGGGTTAGAACTTTATTTAGTCTTAGAATATTTTATATTTTAGGATGAAGTAATGTACTTAGAACCTGAGCCTAGAAATAAATGTATGACTTTAATTAGGCCGATATATTGTTCATTAGTGAAAGTTTTAGTTAAAAAAGGTACTTATCCTATTGAAGATATATTTAATAGTTGGGCAGCAGAGGATAAAGAAATGTTTAGGTGTTATCGTCAAGATATATCAGATACTTTGGTATGAAAATATACATACTTTTAATATTTTGTACTATTACAATATTCATATTTAAATACACATTCTAGGTATATTGTTACAGTTTGTTAACTGAGGAATTACTATATATTTTGATGACTCAATTAAGAGAACTTGTTTATAATATTAGACCTGAGAATTGGAGAGAAATTGGTAATATCACACTAACCTAGGATAATTATTTATAAAATATTTATTATTTATGATTGTTTTTTTATTTTCAGAGGGTTTTATATATGGCTTTGGTGCAGTGGCTGGTCATGTTCACAACTCAGAAAATCTTTATATCCCAGAACTACTCCAAATTTTGTGTCAAATTCCTTATGAGAAATTGAATGATAAAGTTATGCTTACTGCACTCAATACAATAGGTATTTTTTATTCTTAAAATTCAGTGGTTATAAAATTAACATTTTATTCAAATAAGTAATATTTTGTATTGAATATATTGTACATATCAATAAAATTAAATCTTTATATAATATTTAGGATCATTCTCAGAGTGGATGAATTATCACCCTGAAACCTTATCATTAATTATACCAGCGGCTTGCAATTCACTTAATAAAAGTTCAGCAATAATTTCGCAAGCAACATTGTTACTTAAAGAAGTTACGAGGGAATGCCAAAGACATCTTTGTCCATTTATTGAGCCTTTGTTGCATGCTTTTCAGGTAAAATATATTAATGATTTAGATGTTTAATTAGATGATATAATATGTTCAGTTCATTATCTCAGATTTATTTTATTTTGAAAACGCATTAGAAAACATCTGTCGAATTTTATATATCAGAAAAGATATTTATGCAACTATGTATTTGCATCGATGTTTGATGTTTATGATGTTCATGGTTATGCTAATGGTAAATTTTATTTTAGCAATCATTGCATAGTGGTGGACTTAAAGAATTAGAATGCACAAGAATAATGTTTTGTGTTGGTAAAGTTTTAGTTATGCTCTCATTGGAGGATATTGTTGATTATTTAAAACTTATATTAACACCTATCATGCAAGTTACAGCAGAGATATCTAAACATAGTGAAGTAAGTATAGTTATAAACTTATATTGTTAATCACCAACTTTTATGCATTTGTCTGAATTTTAGTTAACGAATCAAGATCGGGCAAACTTAATTAGGAATTTCCAAATGATTGCTGTTTTATTCTCATCATTTAAATACTGTGAAGTTGAATATGAAACCGATAATCATCAAAACCATGCTGTTTTTTTGATTTTGCAGACCTTGATTCCAATTATGCATGATATTACAAAAATGAAAGGATGCAATTTTGAAGTTTTGCAAGTAAGTATCTAGGACATCTATAAAAATATTTAAGAAATTTATTAGAAATTTTTGGAAATGTTAAACAATACCAACTATATATTGATGTTTATTTAATCATTTAATACTTAATTTAATTAAGTTTTTTGTTAATTGTAACATATTATTGTTAGAATTTACAATTATCGATATTTGCATAGTCTTGGCCTAGAAATTATGCAAATCGTCAGTTAATGTGTGTACTGCAAATTTTGTTTTTTGTTCTTTTAGCAAATATATCATGTATTACAAAATGCAGTACTCTCTTTGATGGAAAGAATTATACCATTATTGAAAGATATTTGCCTGATGATACTACAGACTTTTCAAGTAGAACCCATAGGTGAAGCTTTAGATGTATCTAAACAGGTATTTATATAAAAAAAAAACAACTAATTTATTGCTTTAATTTAAGATATACAGTGAATGAGCATTTACTCAAGTATTTTTTATAGATAATATTAGCATTTCATAAAGATGCTCATCTGAAAACACTAATAGATGAATTATTTACACAATTAGTTTTTGTGTCATTATCAACATGCAATGCAGCTTCAGAAATAGGTTTGTCTTACAGATCTGATCTAATGGAATCTTTTTTCTTATTTCTGTCACAAGTGTGTAGAAAATGTACATCAGTTTTGATAAATTCTACATTGAATCTGACAAATATTGTTAATTTAGGTAAGTCTTTGCTTATAGCCATTTACAATAGAATAAAGTGTAATATTTAATTACAATTAATACAATTATAATTACTGATTTATTACAGCAATACTTGGAATTGGTTTGCCAGAACATGGTGCAATGAAATCTTGCCTTTCATTTCTGGTTCAGTTTATTAGCAAAGGACCAGAATATCCTGATTTTAATATTATTATTCTCACAAATGGACAGTTTTTAATTACAAAACTTTTGTTGTGCCTAGGTAACTTCGTACTTTGTTCAAATACTTGTCATGTGTATTTATTGATAATCAGCTGTAATATTCATTTAGAGTTAATTTTCTTTTTAAATAATATAACTTTTTTCTATGTCAGGTGGTGCAATACCCCGAACAAATGTAGATGCTCTTGGTGATATCTTTTTAGCATTGAATAAAAAATATCCTGATGAAGTTGCAAAATGGTTGCAACAAAATTTGAGTTTACCAGATTTTCCAACAAATTGTGTGACACAGGAGCAGAAGTTAACCTTTTGTAAAGATTTGTTGAGGTTTGTGCCATAATTTAAAAATCCTATTTAAGCGCTACTATAGTGTATATTTCGAATACAGGGAAAAGGCTAATAGACGGAAGTTGATTGAAATATTAAAAGGATTCACATTTGTATGTCGCGGATTAGTCTACACAGAATATGCTAATCAATTGACTCCGGTATTATATTAATATTTGGGATAATCAGTTATTTGCATACACAATGTATATAATTTGTATATTATTTTAATTATGTGTTGAATGAAATTTTATGATGAATTGTGATTGACATAATTTTAGTAAGAACGGCTGTTACTTTAGTGGATGACTAAATGATTTTTTCACTTTATTTAAGTCATGTATATATTTTAGAGCTATAAATAATTAATGTTAATAGTTAGTAATAAATCTTGATGAATTGCGCTTATAAATTATTTCTTATAAAATAAATGATGTACACTGTCTTACATTAGACTTTAAGATAATTGCAAAATCTTGCGATTAATGTATTTTTATAAATTTAACCAATTATGTGAAATGTGTGATTGTCTCTTAATTAGGACAAATTGAATTGATAAACTTATTCTTTAGCTGAGTATGTGTTATGTTATGAAACTGGAAAATATACTTAAAAAATAAAAATTTTTCTTGTTAATATATGATAGTCAGTAAAACAAAGTTTTAAAAAATAATAAATAATTTATTTAATTGCATTTCAATTGAATATAATCAGACGGACAAGTAATATGTAATATCTGTCTTATGAGATTTTTTTCCGCTTTAGTAAACTTATTGAAGTTAATTTTTGAAAAATAATTAATATATAAATAACATCCCTTTGCAAGACATTATATTACAATATTACAGTTGGCTGTACAGAGATGTTCAGAACACACATCAAAAATTTGATTTGAACTCTGAAAATAGATTAGAGACTTAGATTATCATACGAAATCACTAATTTACTCTCGGTACAAGCCAGAGTCAATGCATCGACTAAGTATCTTATTAAAATTTCCTTCATTCCAATATAATCTTTCATTTAATTAACCCTGTAAGTCTTTTTTTTAATTTATCTTACTATATGTTAATGTTATGAGTAAACATGACTCCCATGTGTTGTTGATTTCTTAAAAGTGAGTGGTTTGTTAGTTTTTTGAAGTTTCCTATTCACTTGAGAGAACGACCGCAATTTAATCCACAAGAATGCACTGAATAAGCATGACATTGCGAGGCATAAGAGAAGAACTACCAAAGCAATCATAAAACTAATAGTGGCCATGCACATGATTCCATCGTTTCTAGCCGGGAACACTAACGTGCTCGTGTTTGTCGAATTAGCTGATTCGGCTACGGGGAATGTCAGATCGCCCGTTGATACAACGCGAATGACTTTGTTCAGGCCGACCTCCTGCTTAGGGTCGGCAGCACGCTTTTCTCTGCTTCCTACATATGCCGGGCCATATAATTCAGAATACGAACCCGCTTGTTTATCACATTGTTCTGGGCAACGGTGCCTACAGATCTGTATCGTACATTGGAAATGCACCTCCATAGAATCAGGGAACTTGAACGCTTGGAAATGTGCGTAACTCAATATACTGGCACTAGCTCCGAAATTCTTGATCTTTGTAAACCTGGACATTAGTTTAGGGCGTGTAACACAGCCATATCTATCTACAAGCTGAATTGGGGCGTGTTTACCATCGTGAGCCATGCAGTTTCGTACAAGCATGTCGAATTTAGAATCGTAGTCCTTTATAGCTAAAACCATCGTCATAGCTTGACCAATCTTCACGAGTCCTGATACTTCTGAAGCCCAAGGCCCACGCCCTACTTGAATCTGCATCCAGCAACCTACATTATCACCAGCGAAGTCTGCTCGAATGATTTCAAGCATGTCTACAGGGAACGGACGGAAAGTAACTCTTTTCTCATACTGATCGTGCCACGTGCATCTCAATTTTCTAGCTTGGTCCCAAATTTCCTGTACTTGAGGATCGTACTGGATGACTATAACATTCTCGAAATATGTACCAGAGCCGGATTCCGATCCATACCCGTAGTATCCATTCTCCGTATTGCCTGCTGTCCCACAATGATGAATACCAATTTCAAAATTTGCGTTACTGCTCCCTTGACCTGGTTTTAAATGCACGCATGCCGGATTACTGTAATGCCCCTTTGAAAAAATTATACCGTAGAATGGCTTATCAAAGGCTATAAATACTTTCATAGAATTTCGCTCGCATTTCACATCTAGTGAGATGATTTTAGGGGTTTTTGTAGTAGATACTGGCCAGTCTTCTTGTCCATGTACTCCAAGTAAATGTTCTGGGTGCAATTGCTCACCAGGTCCTTGCTCATATACATCATTTCCAGGATGTTCGGAAAAAGATTTGTCAGTTGCTTCTATGGGAGGTGGCGGTGGGCCATGATAGTTAGAGGAAGATTGTCCAAGTGCGTTGCGATTGGTTGAATGACCTAATTGAAAAATGTGTTATATTATTTCAAAAATGTAATGAGAAAAAAAATATGTACAAGAAAAACTGAAAAAGAGCGATCGCAATAATATGTTTGAATGTTTGAATTAATTTGAAATTTATTATATAACCGACAAAAAACGTTGTCCTTTCTCATCAATAATTGTTTTTTAAATAGTATAGTAAACAAAGTGTTACTATTAATAATGTTTCTTACTAACAAACTAAACTTTTTTTTACTATAATATTTTTTTTATCACCAATCGTTAAAAAATGCTGTGTTTTACAGTTATGATCGCTGAAATTATAAACTATTTTTAGTTTTAACCCTTTGATAATAATATATTTAAATTAATTTTAATTTTTTTAAGTGTGAGTAAATTAAAAATTGATTTCACCTCTTCCAGGCAGAGCGTTATATTGATGTACAACAGCGGATCCATCTTTTGCTGTTGATTCTAATGCGAGTTGATCTGTATTTGAAATTTCATTTCCTTCGCTCAGAACTTCTTCGGGAACTGCTGCTACAATTTCTATTTTCTCATCTGACTTTACAACCTGAATTCGACAAAAAGTAAGTAAATTAAAAATATAAATAATAGTTCTCAACGAATTATTATAATAATGAAAAATATAGCGCATGTCATTTCAAATGTATAAAAAATTATTGCAAATAGATGTTTGTAATGATTTACAACTAACATCTATAACAAAAAAAATATTTTTTTACACATTTGAAATGACATTCGCATAATTATTTGCTCGGCTGTCTGCAGAGGCGATACTTCATACTATTTTATACTATTATACTTTCTTATACTATTTATAATATAATTTTATCTTTAAAAGATAATCTTTTAATGCTGCAAATACCACATAATAATAAAATTGATTTAAAGCGATTCGATCTTACTGATTTGTTGAATGTTCTTTTGGAACTACAAACGTAATAAACCTATTTTGAGGAACGGAAGTCATTCGAAGGCGCTTCGCATCAGAACAGCAATTTATCACGTAAATTCGATTGTGCATTAATTAATCAAAGTGTGTTAGTTTGTTGCTTTGAATACAGTAAGAAGCAAATATACGGGTCATGCCAGATCGGTCTTTTAATGGTATTGTCATTTGTAGATTTGTGTGCCGAAGATGCGGTCGAACAAGTTTTTATTTTCTATGCATCAGTATTATATGTGATCTCTGTGTCCCTTACATATATTATACTGCTCTGAATGTGTGTCAATTAGCAAAGCTCTTAGTAATATGAAAACATGACATGGCATGTAAACAATGCTAGGTACAAAAGTAGGAACGGTATGAAAATGCTGTCTTTACTGGAATCGGAAAATCCGTGGAAATGTTTACCACGGTAATAATTGTTAGGGACATAACTTATTAGGGATTTTTAATTTAGTTTTATTGTTTCGATTTAGATAGATATGGGTCATAATACTGGGTCGATTTATGATTGAATCAAAACAAAATATGTATTACAACTACTTTTAGCATTATATCCCAAGCGATAAAGATGAGCTACATTCATCCCAAACCCTCTACACGATTTTTATCCGGACTTTATTAATACAACACAGATTTGGCAATTCGTGTGCAAAACAACACAGTCAATATCGGTAATGAATCAGAAACATACACGATATTCGCGGGTGTACGATGGGTCAAGGCGAAAGGCTTTTGTCAGGTGCTCTGATCTGCCGTGCGGGCTACCTGACGATTTTTTTTATATTTTTGATTTTGGCCGGTGGCGTTATCCGCGGGTCAGACTACAGTTAACAGGTAACGGTTCGGTCCTCAGCCAGCATCATCATCGACATGGTTAATATAAAATATAAGTGTGAGACCTGTTCGCGGACCCACTGACTCAATTCGACGGGCGAATGCGTTATAGGTTCCTCGGACGCGAACTCGCACATTCTACTCGGCCTTGGGGCGTATTAATGCGAATGTTCAATCAAACGGGGTCGACGGATACCAAATTCTCTCTTGTTTGCTCCGCGCCGAACATTCAGTGAAACTTTTGGCGCGATACTCGCACACATAAGCACTGTACCGATTACGACTTTGATTGCGAGCTTTATTCCGAATTTTATCAGCTTATCGTTTTTTTTCTTCCCGGAGTGAATCCGAGTGGAGTTGTATCGGAGATTTTGTCATATTTGACTTCTCTGACATTTATTGGTAAATTTGTTTAAATCATTATTTTATTGACATTTATTTATTCATAAATTAACTGGTCGCCTGATTGCCTAGTGGAAATTATTATTTTATTGACATTTATTTATTCTCAAATTATCTGGCCGCCTGATTGCCTAGTGAACCCTTTATAGCAAATTACCCTGGTATTTCAATATTTTTATTGTCTCAATTCCGCCATACTATTTGAGATTTGTATGCATATTGAAATGCATTGAAATGCATAAAATAGTGATTTTTTATAATAATACAAACAAAAATGTTTTAAGTTTTTGAAAACGATTAAAGAACAAATGCTTAATAAATCCTTAGGTATATGAACAACACCCTATGGAACACATTTGTTTAGGTTTAGAAGTTGCTGGAGTATTAAATTTCTAATTTGTCCTAATTTTTAACATCTGATATTGAAAATAACGTTTGCAAAAATTTCTAAAAAATCGGTCGCTAAGGTGTCGGATTACTGGAGGTGTCGGGCTATTGGAATGCCGGATCATATATATATATATATATATATATATATATATATATATATATATATATATATATATGATATTTTTGGTATGTAAAATTATAAAATGTTTCATGAACGATCTTTTCATCTTATAAGAATTTATTCACAAATTGGTTGTTTCCTTACTCGAATATGCAATAGAAATTTTACAGTTTACAAGGGTTATTTAACTTCAAATTATTGAGTAGAGTTAGCATGCTATTGATCATAGCTAAAACAATATGCTATTAATTTACCCGAAAGTATTAAAATCGCTCGTAATTTGTGAAATATGAATTTTATTAACCACTATATTATCTATGTATCGCTCTTGTATAATACATAAAAAAGTGGCTTTTTGTTTATATAAAATAATCATATGATTATCTGGAATCGTTGTATTGACCATTAGTAGTCTTAAAATAAAAATATCACTTCATCATTCGGCGTTATCAAAAATTCGATTAATGATATGTATTTGTGACAAAAATACATTATGGACGTCATTAAGTTAATGTATAACTTGTCTTTGGATTAAGCGCAGGTGGCCTCACAGCTCTCGTTGATATGAGCATCTTTAATCTGTACCAAAAATTCAGATTTGCAGTTATATAGGGTGTTATGCAGAACCTTTTACTAAATTTCTATTAAAATTGTAATACCCCAAATAATTACGCAAAAATTCAAGTTGTTAGATTTCTCTATCGGGGTATGATATTCTAGGATACTTTTGTGGCGATATCAAGGAGGCTGGTTTTGATTTGGAAAAAACAATGGGACATGTCATGTATATTTTTGATATCGAAATATTTTTACAATTAATAAATTTATATTTTTTTATTGTGTTGGGAGTTTCTAATTTAATATAATGTCATAATCATTAATACCCCCACATTGGTGACTCACGACGATGGAGATGAAGATAAAGGAGTTTTATTTTTCGAAGATTTAAGAAAAATTGATTTTGACGCAGCACCATAATCACCGGTCTTCAGTGACGACCTATAAGGTATGTCCAGTCCAATCCATCATAGTTAACGCACTTACTATCTGGATCAGACTTCCGAGGTTACTCATTTGGTATACCCAGACCTCAGTGTTTATTGCTGACAGAAAAAAATAATTTGGAGCCTGAACTTTTCATTGGAATGCAATTCAACCTCTCTTTCTCTGTTAACTCAACAAATCGTCTTATAATGCTACCTCCCATTATCGGTGACAACGACGAATCAAAACAAAATTTGACATAATTTATTGGATTCCACAATTCTGGACTCTTATGTCAAAGAAACCAATGATCCTGATTTGGATAAAGAGCCAACTTCTTTCTCTGATCGGAACTCATCAGATACGGATGCAACGCTTGCAGAAATGGAAACTGTACCCATAAATTATGCATTCTAAACATTAAGTTATTCTGATATAACTAATACCCATTAGATCGAGAACATTATGCAGAATATGGAGTTGATGGCAGGTCAAATCACCACATACGGTGGATCTGCTGACGAAACATGGAAATTTGTAATTGACCAGTATTACAACACTGGTCTGCTATAATCTGCTTTCCCACCACATTTTTATAACGTGTTTCCCTGTTTTTTTTTTTTAAACTGTGAGATCAACACTGGGCAGGGAGTGTGTGGCGATATCAAGGAGGCTGGTTTTGATTTGGAAAAAACAATGGGACATGTCATGTATATTTTTGATATCGAAATATTTTTACAATTAATAAATTTATATTTTTTTATTATGTTGGGAGTTTCTAATTTAATATAATGTCATAATCATTAATACTCCCACACTTTTTTAAAAACATTCATTCCCAAATTCTTGATAATTAACTTCCCGTAGGGTAAGTTATTTATTTTACTTGATTTAACGATATGGTTTGAAAATTTTTGGTAAGACAAATCTAGCGAATTTGCAAATACTACAAAAAAATTAAAAAAAAGCCAATTGACGGTCAAAAATGATTATTAGACACATGCACATCAAATTATATATTTTATAAAGATTTTAATAATAAGCACACATTTTGTTTGCATTTGTATGGGCTCCATACCAAGATTTATAATGTTTAACCGTTAGACTACGGCGCGGCGCGTACGCGCTTTGATATCTTGTTTCTAGATTGGAATATGCAGCGCGATTGTTTCGAAATAAATCAAAACTATAAAAAGTCAAATTTTTCAAAAAAGTCCGACTTTTCAAAAATTTCAAAATTCTCAAAAATCAATTTTTTTCAGTTTTCAAAAATTTTAAAGCTTTTTAAAAATACGAGAAGTTCCAGCAATTTGCCTCAAGGCACGATGCACTACTAGTTTTTAACTTCCCGTAGGGTAAGTTATAGTAATTATTTATTTGATTAGAAATGTTTTATTTATAATATAATTTAAAACCGGGCGCTTTCTTTTCATATATTCATAAATAACTTATTCCATATTTACATATTTAGTAAGAATATCACAAAGTTTTTTTAATTGATCATGCTAACAAATTCAATAAATTATTTTTTTGCAAAATATAATCATAGATGAATACGTACCGTTAAAATTGTTTTTTACGATCCATCTATGCGATATTACATACTTGGTCCATGCAAGGAAAAGTTAGAAAACGAGTGATTTCTATAGTTCTTTTTATGAAAGGTTTATAGCACATTTATCGAAAGGAATAATTATGTATATAATGTTTTATACTAAAATACTATAATATATGCTATGTTCAAATATTGTATCACTAATAATGTTTTACCTGAAGTAATATGGCTGTCGCCAGGATGAACAACCACCGCATTATGAACCTGTAAATTAATGCAATTGCGTATTATTCACTAATAATATATACGTAAAATACGGAAATAAACATTTCAAAGTTTATTAGACATTTAAACAGTTTAACATTTTCGAAGTATTAATCAATTTTTTTTATACTAAACTTATATTAAAGCTAATGCTGTGTGATAAAATGCAATAATATTAATTACCAGCAATAAAAATAATTTTACAAAAATGTATTTTAGAATTTATTTATTTTAGTTTTTGATTTTTGCAAATCATGATGATGAAATCTTATTGTAATCTATGGAGAAATGTCTATGTTAATAAAATCAATTTTTTTATTTATATTCTGTAGAGTCCCGGCGCAATGTTTATTGCAAAAGTTAGTACTTACACCGAATACAGGCACTCTAATTAAGGACTAGATATACTTTATTAGTAATTAGTCTATACCAGACCTTAAAATTAGATTGAAAAATCATTAGTTTAGTTTATAATGGTATTAATTTGTAAGATTTGTTGGACGTACAGAATGAGAAATTTCTTTTAACCAGCTTAGTACCTTTGGTTGTAAAATTATTTTATTGCTGTTTGGTAGACGAGGGAAGATATATATGATAAAAATTTATTGTGGTTTAATTTTCAATATTAGCTTTGTTTTAAAAATTAGAATAGATGTCGAAGAAAAATAAATGTAAAATCAAACATTTTCAAATGTCCCTACATAAATTTAAGAAAATTTAATTAAGCAAATCAAAAAAATTTCATTACATAAAAAAGGACTAAGAAACTGAAATCATCAAGTTGAACATAAACAGGCAACACTGATTATTAATTGAGCTCAACAGCAGAATTAACTTTACCGTAAATTATAGTTATTGCAAATAAAGTCGAAAATGAAAATTTTTATATCTTTACGTTTCAAAGATTTCTGAACATTTGGCATACCTTAGAAAAAATAGATGTATTTGTGTATGTGCGTATACAAATTTTCGACGATTTCGGTAATACGGATCAACCGATTTGAATAATTAAAAAAACGTTCGATTCAAATTATTGGGGAAACATGCAGATTAGTTTTTGGCTAAGGCAGGTTCAGCCTTTGCGAAGGTGGTAATTCAGTAGTAAACTGAGCGTCTGATTTTAAAAAACATTTAAAGAAGAGAGCTGATTTAATTTATGCGAAGGCAGGTCCACTCGTTTCGGAGATCTAATGAAAAAAGTAAAAAAAAGCCATTTGGCGAACAAAAATGATCATTAAGCATATGCACATCAAATTATCAGATTCTTTTTTACAGATTTTAATAATAAGTACAAATTTTGTTTACATTTCTGTGGTTTCCGTAATCATGTTCATCCTGCGACTGCGACAGGGCGCTGACGCGCTTCGATATTTCGTTTTTACGCAGCTAACGCAACGCAGTTACTTAGAAAAAAAGTTTCAGAAATCAAATTTTTTCAAGATTTTCAAAAAATGTTAAAGCTTTTTTAAAAATTTTAATTTTTGGTACGGGAAATTTCAACAATTTGCATTAAGGCACAATGCCATGCACCACTAGTTAAATTTGAATTATATACGTAGTAAAATTAATTGCGCGATGTTTATTTTTTGAAAAAGTTAATTTTAACTAGATTATTAATTAAATATTATTTATTGATTAATTTTATAAATTAATTTTTATTTTTTTAAATTAAATTTTTATTTTTTAAGCATAATTTTTAGTTCATATTAACTGATTTAATTAGCTTAGGTTGATTGATCTAAAATGTTTCCGAAATGTTTTACTTTTTAATTGAGGTATTGTGTAAGAAATTACAAAGTCGCGTTACACTTCAACGATCGAGTTACATATTTCAACAAATATTTCGAAAAGAAAATCGTGCAAGTTCATCATTGTTCAGGTTTATTCGTGTGAACGTTTATCGATGCGTGAGGGCGTGCGAATGAAAAAAATAAATAACCATTTCAAGGCAATAATAGTTAATAAATATTGAATATGTTAAACAACCATAAGTGGATCATAAGAATGTTATTTTATGACAGAAATGTGGAGCATGAGAAGCGCCAATGTTATTTCTATTTGAATTAATTAGTATTCTAATGATGATCTTGTACTTATATTGTTCTACAATGATTCACATTCATCATTTACACATGACGTACGGCGGTGGTTGTGAGAAAACGCCATTAAAGTCTGGGACAGTAGAGCGTAACCCTTAACCACCTCCAGGCGTCCATAAAATCTTATCAGTTCTACAGTTTTGTTTTTATTGTTAACTTGGAATTTAAAAACTTTTTGTTAAGTTTTTTTTTCATAAATATACAATCTAGAATTAAATTACCGAAGTGATTCTTACTTGTAAGATATCTTACAGATATTATTTATTTATTACCTTATTTTCACCTATAATATTTGAGAAGGAAATATTTAATTAATAATAAGTGAAAATTTGTTCTTGTTGCTCGTGTTCTTTAACATATTGATATCGTTAACCCGAAATTTAAAATTATTGCCTTTAGATTTAATTAAAAAAGTGATTCTAATTGTTCTAATTATTCTTATTTGTAAGATATTTTGCAGATAGCTCAATTATTTTTAGCTATCTTGAAGGAATCATTAATCTATGAGTACTGAAATTTTGTCTGTAATCCTTAAAAATGTTGCTTGGTAATTAAAAATTAAATTAAAAATGTTTGTGTTTAGATTTTTTTCGTTGAAACGCGACCTAGAATTTATTTTGTGATTTTAATGATTGCTACTTGTGAGTTATATGGCAATAAGGTTTTATGGAGCTTTGCCTGATTTAGTATGTTTTTTTCGTAAATTTTTTACGTCTTTTTAAATGTTACAATATTATTGTTGAAAATTAATAATAATTATTGCCAAACTTCGAATTCTCTTCATCTTTCTCTTGATCTTTCTCTTGATTTATAGTTGAATTTGATTTGATTATGACTGCTTCACTTTTATATTAAAATATATTTACTATTTATAATTTTAGTTAAAATTTCAATTTATTTTAATGCATTATATTTATATTTAAATAAAACAGCGTTAAAAATAGCAAAGAAAAAGTATTTTCTTCAAATATCAAATATTTGTAAAATCAAATATTTGTTCTTTATTAATTATTTATCGAACTACGGCATTTACGGTTTAGTTTTACCACTTCATTTATATATTTATTATTTACTAGTACTGACAAATTCTTTAATATCAATTTTTATGGAATAAGGGCGTAGTTTTTACTCAATTTTTTATTATTATAAGACATTAAAGATTAACAAAAATAAATTATAACAAAAAAAAATTATTATTGAATGATGTGAGTGATACGAGCAAATTATTAGTTATGTTTGTGTCTATATTTATATGTATATATTTATTTGCAAAATATGTTTAAATTAACTTAAATATCTTATCATGAATAAATCACTAAAAAATTAATTATATAATATTTAATTCAGCAGAAATCATAAAACGTTCTGTTCAATATATGACCGATTATCATTTTGATTCTTTTTTCAATTTTTATCAAATTCAGACAAATTTTAAATACAAGAACTTATGAAAGAACGTACTAGATTTTATAAATGGTACTAAAAATGATTTGACAGAGATAATAGAAATGATAAAAAGTTAGGTTGTCCGCCCCTGGTCCATCTCATTATTTCTTTTCATTACTCTACATTCGGCGCGTACGTGTCGATAGCTCTATTCATTCAAATCTCATTGTCTTTGCTTGCTCAAATGTCCCGAGGGATTTTAAATCGTTTCCTAAGAATATAAGTGCAGGTTCACGAAGTACTTGTTGGTTATGAAATAAATGGCTTTTATTATGACAAAAAGTTTTTTCTCGCTTTGTACATCTAACGAAGTGGTTGTACTACTCTATAATTGCTTTCGGCGTAAAAATACTTTTTACCGGTATAACAGAGATTTTGAATGAACTTGCCTAACAATTCTTACGTGTATTACCTAATATATGAATTAGGTAATAAAAGAATGATTCATAATTTAAGTTCAAAATAATTTTTAAGTTAAATCTGCTTATTGAAGTGTACTTAATAGCGATAATTACTTAGAATATTAATAATTTCATATGCTAAATTTAATTATATTATATTTTATTTATCTATATAATTAAAGAAATAAGCTCATGTTCGTTGAATTAGTTTAAAACTTTACTAAGTTACTACATTTTCAATTGATGATCTATCTTATAATTTTTCAAGATCTTGGTGCTTCAATTGTATTTTAGGTAAAAGGTTAAATGATTTTGCATCTTGAAACCATAATTTAAATATTAATTAAAAATTATTCAGAAGCAAATTCATTTTAATTAAATATTTTTTAACTAACTGACAAGATATTTGGAAATAATTTTTTTATGAAGCAAATATCTTTTATTTGGTTATTTTGAATATTTAAAGATATTACTGTCGTTTTCAATGATTTTTTGGAGCTAATTATATCTACATAATTTTATATTTTAAATATGCTACCACAATATGTGCAATAATTTTTTTAAAAGTAAAACATATTTCAAGAAATTAAAAATTTTGACTACTTTTTGTATAAGTTTTCAATACAAATTATATTTTGATGCTTAGCCCAAGATTTACCTTTTAAATTACATTTAATTTGTTTTTGTTTTCAAACTTTTTAACATTGGGCTTTAAAGCTTTGACCGTAAAAGTTCGAATAGGGAAAAATAATGGTTTAATTCTTATACTCTCATTATATTATATTTTCAATTGTTTTTCAATTATTGCAATTGATTATATACATATAAATATGAATTCAACAAATCATATGTTTTTTAATGCATTTGTATGATAAATTATTATTATTAATAATAATACTACTACTTCAGATATCATATCATTTTTTTTTTATTTTAATAAATAATAAAACTAACAAATATAAAATCAAAGGGAATGAAATTCGCCGTCTATCAATCGATTTATATCAAAGTGTGGAAAATTGCATAAAAATCTACGTTCAAGCAAAAATTTGCA